TGAAAATAGATGATAGCAAAGAAGTGGGAGTAAAAGACAAGCCGTTGTTTGGAAAGGAGATTGGTTTTTACCTCTGTGGTGCCTCGGCTGAGACCATCATTAAGGCCTACCTTAACTACGATTGCTGAGGGAGGATAAATTGTTGCGATATTTAATTTCGCTGGGAGATACTGGATCAACTATCTACCAGAATGGGAAAGAAAAGTAAGAGGCAGAGAGCTTGCTCTCTCTCCCCAAAATCTATGACGGAACTTAATTACTCCAAGCCTCTTAAACAGCTTAAATTGGATGACTTTATGGAGAGGTGTAATCCAGAACCCCAATCTGAACTTCGAACTTTGTCTCTGTCGACTGTATCATTGGGAGGGGGAGATACAGAAGGGGAGTTTTCTTCCCGGATTTCAGATTCAAACTCCCCTGCTAGAATGGGTGATTTTTCAAGCTCTATCCCCTCTCCTACTCCTAGCTGCTTAAAAGAAGTTCCGACATATTCAGACCTCAGAGAGATGGTCTGTACTCAGAGTATGTTAACTGCGCACACAGTAGATTCAATATATGACTTACTGACATCGATCAAAAGAGACATCGAGAGGATCTTCCAATTCTTAAATGGCCCTCACTCTGCAGCTAAGGAGAGTGAGATTGCACACCGTCCTGAGGCGCGGAGAGAGTGGGAGGGTGTAAGACCTCAACCCAAACAACAAAGCATTGCAAGTACTGATGCTAACCCTCATCAAGGAAGAAGGTTGTTAAAGAAACAAATCGCTTTAAGGATAAGGAAAATCCCATGCAATAGAGGACGATGGACTTCAAAGGAAAGGATAACCCTCTCACTTGCACAGCTATTGAAATCTGATCCTTTATTAATAGATCTACTCAGATATGAAAAACTTCCCCAGCATAGCAATTGTGTCCGACTAATACTCCATTTTGACAGCAATACTATACCGAACGCTGTAATGAAAAGAAAAGGATCCCTGCTCAGATTTGAAGTCATTCCTACAAGAGTCTTCTCAAGTGGGCCCATTAAACCGCTTTTACAAGGACTTAACCAAACATCAAAAATGGTACCCAAGAACCACGCTGCTACCTCCAGGGTCTTTCCTCCAGAATCCGGAGAAACTATGGAGGCAGGTCAGATCAGGGAGGTCCCACATATGAAGGCAAGCACCGACAAACCAGAGGATGCTATAATCAGCGAATTTGTCTCCTTGTCTCCAAAGGAGCAAAGGTCGATGTTAATTGAATTTGATTTATTAAGATCTTCGCTAGCACAAGCGTGTAGTTCAACGAGAAGGCTATCCAAGTCGGAAGAACGGGGAAAGCATGTGCAGACAAGGCCTAAAGTCGTTAAGTCCGTCCAGCGGGATAGAAGGGAAGGCAAAAGTCTTTTCAAAGAAACAAAGACCATGAATGTAGCGGCAGAAGTTCACCCTCCCCCAACAGTGCAACTGCCCTCACCTGTCTCATCTTCCTTAAGAACGGAGGAGGTACTTCCGCAACAAACAGAGGCCACTTTTGACCCCTTTGGCACTCCAGAGAAGGCGGTGGTAGTAATTCTGGACCCCCCCACCAGAAGGGTGGAGGAAGAGACACAAGGAGTAGTGCCTCAGGGTGACTGACTAAACAACAAATGGCCAACAACTAGGGTATCTTATATCCCTAGCCTTTCCCTCCTGTCCTGGAATATAGCGGGCTGGAAAGGCATTGCAAACCGGATGGATTTTATAAAATTGATTTCAACACATCATCTCATCCTCCTTCAAGAAACCTGGCTGACTACTAATGATCCACAGATCAGTTTACCGGGTTTTGCCTCATGGCATAAACCGGCAGGCAAAGTCAATTTAAGAGGGAGGGCAATTGGGGGCTTAACCACGTTGGTCAAAAGGGATACGGGATGGAAGGGTGAAGAAATTTCTTTAGATCCTCAATTCCAATATATTCTGCCTATTAGATGTACATTCAGGGGGGATGGACTTAATCTTAATTAATGTATATATCGCTCCATTTTCATTCCACCTTTTAGGAAGGGATTTGTGGGATGAATTAGATTCAGTATTAGCTACCTTAAAGGGACGCTTTCCCCAAGCAAAAATTATATTAGCTGGAGATACTAATGCAAGACTAGGTCCCTCAATGAAGAGCTATGCTAACCGAGGCCTGGTACCAACTGGTTACTTATATAATGAGTTCACTTGGTCCTCAATGGACAAGAGGACCAATAAATATGCCCAGAGGTTAATTTCCCTGCTGTTTATGAATGATATGCAAGTACTTAGTGGCTCGAGTGATGGCTATATATATCCCTATACTTTCTCGTCCAACAAAACCTCAACCTCTATCGATTATATCTGCACTTCCTCTAGTTTAGTACACCATTTTTCAGAAGTAAGAGCTATATTTAGAGAGGAAAGTGACCACTTTCCCATCACGGCTCTGGTTTCACTCTCTTCAGAAGTTAGGCCTCATTCAAGAGAGGAAATTGACACCTTAGCAAACGCCCGGGTTTATAACTATAAAAGGCTATATTGGCACAGACTTGATGTCAAATCTGTCACCACTTATTTGGGCTCAGACGAAGCCAGACACCTAGCAAGGGAAATCTCCCAATCTAAGCCCGGAGACAACACTCCAATGCCAGCTTATACAGAGCTAACTTCTACTCTTAGGAACTTAATGATCCAGAATGATAGAAAAGTAGATGGGATCTCTAGAAAGTGGTTTGATGATGATTGCCATAACTTGAGGTCAAATCTAAGAGCCACAGTTAAGAAAGTTAACCGATCCAGACAGGATGGTGATTATTCAAATATGGTTCAACTCAGGAGAGCATACAAATCCCTACTGAAAAACAAGAAAAGTAGCTATAACACCAGGATGTGGAAAGAGGTAGAAATGGCAGCAAAATCCCAATTCCCTACGATCTTTTGGCATAAGATAGCCGGTATATTAAAACAACGTTCCCCATTTATGGACACTGATATATCAGCAGTAAAATGGGAGAAGCACTATCTTGCTTTATTTGATGGTAACAATACAACAAATGTCTTGCAATTGGATATCCTCCAGCAAGAATTAAGGAAATGTCCGGAATGGACACCAGTTACCCCTACCGAAGTTAAGCATATAATTCAATCCTTAAAAGCCGGGAAGGCCCCTGGAGAGGACTTGTTGCCTCCTGAACTCTTTAGGTCCAACATTGATTTTTGGGTACCGGTGCTGGTAGCACTGTTTACTTATATCGATAAAGTAGGGATAATCCCTGAAGGGTGGAGGTTAGCTATAGTTTTTCCAATTTTCAAGAAAGGTGACAGAGCTGCCCCATCCAACTACCGACCCATCAGTCTTCTTAATATAATTTCAAAAATGTATACGAAACATCTCCTAAATAAAATAGAGGACTGGTGCTTGGATAAGGAAATTCTGGCAAATGAGCAGGCAGGTTTTAGATCAGGTAGGTCTACCATAGACAATTGTTTTGTCCTTTCCCACTTAATTAATAAATACAAGACCCAGGGGAAAAAGCTGTATACTGCCTTTATTGACCTTACTGCTGCTTTTGATTCTATAGATAGGAACCACTTGTGGAGGAAACTACAAGTTATGGGGATGGACCCCAGACTTATTTTGTTGATCAGGATTCTCTATACTAATACGGCAATTAGAGTCAGATATGCAGCAAATGGGGCCTCAACAAACAGCATACCGACAACTAGAGGAGTGAGGCAGGGCTGCCTGCTGGGCCCTACTCTTTTTAACCTTTATATAAATGATATCCCAGCACAGCTGGATGATCTTCTGACGCACAGCCCCCAAATAGGCTCTAGATTTATTAACGTATTAATGTATGCCAATGACTTAGTGTTGTTTTCTAGAACCCAAATAGGAATGAAGAGACTTCTTGACAAGCTCACACGTTACTGTACTGCAAGCCACTTGACTATAAATGTAGCTAAATCAAAAGTTTTAGTCTTTGGCAATAAGAATAAAAAGCACAATTGGCAGATTAATGACACAAAAATTGAGCAAGTTACCCAATATACTTATCTTGGAATTGTTTTTTCCAGTGCAGGAGGTTGGACTCCGCACCATCAACACCTTTCTCAAAAGGTCAGAGCAGGAGCAAGCCTTGTATCCAAATTAAGTAAACGAATCCAACCAACCTCCATCTTACCTCTTCGTAAAGTCTTTCAGGCTAAACTTGTCCCGATCATGCTCTATGGTGCTGAAATTTGGGGTCTTACAGAGGCCCCCATATTAGAGAGAACTCAAAATAATTTGTTAAGGAGGATGCTTGGGGTAAACAATTCCACTTCAGCTGCAGCCGTCAGAGCTGAATTGGGACATTTCTCACTGTACACCTATACAATCACTAGGGCGGTAGCCTACTGGCTAAAAATGACCCAGATGGATGCCAGCAGACTCCCCAAAATATGTCTAGAGGAACAGCAGATTTCAAATCCTCAAAGGTATTCCTGGCTAACCCGGCTGTCAGAAATATTGAACCGATATGGCATAGGGTTCCCGTTGTGTGACACACTGAACCAAGTTAAATAACGGATTAAAGATATACATGGGCAAATGGACATGGCAACCCTTTCAACTAATCATTCCCTTAAACTGCTGACAGCAGTTAAAACAACTTTCACTCTGGAAAAGTATTTACATTTAGAAATGCCATCAGTGGAGAGACAGTTATTTGTTAAGTTTAGATTCGAACTTCTAGATACAAACGTTAGATTCGGCCGTTATCGGAAAATCCCGTATGACAAAAGAATATGCATATGTGGGGTAAACGTCGTGGAGGACACGGCGCATATAATATTCGAATGTAGTCTCTATCAAGAAGTAAGAAAACAATATCTGTCCCCAATTATAAATAAATTTCCCCACTGGAATATAAGCCAAAAACTAGCATTTCTGTTGAGGGCTGACTCTCCTCCCCTGGTAAGAGCGATCACTCGATATCTTAAAAAAATGACAGCAATACGAGCCAGTTATATCAAAAAACATTTTATCGATTGTAAGGAAGATGAGCTCAGTTAGAGAGGAGCTATCCTATTTGGGTTATCTAGTCTTGGCTATTGAAAATTGATATTGTAAAATTTTAACGTCATCTATCATATATTTTTAAATTGCTATTTTTGTAACCGTTTTACCTTTCTCCCTTTTTCTTTTCTGTTTTGTTTGAAAAGGCCTTCGGGCTATTCAATAAACTATACACACACATAAGAAATATTTTGATTCGAAATTGGGAAAAAGTTAGTAAAAAATATTATATTAAAATACCGTGTTGGATATCACCTTTAGAAGCAGTGACATACCCTAAACTCTATAATTATGCGAAAAAACTAACATATAAAGACTTGCTAAATGTACAAGGAAAATTAAAATCTAAACAGGAATTGAACTCCCAAGGGGTACAAGTGGACTGGTGGACATATTTACAGATCCAATCTAAATACAAAAAAGACAGAGATAGGAAGGGTATTAATGGTGAGTTACAAGAATTAGATAAAATTTTGATGGGCCAAGAAAAAGGCATGATTTCGAAAACTTATAAATTGTTGATGAGAATAGAGATAGGTGATGAGATAATATCCATAGGCATACTTTCCACATATTCAATACATACCTTCCAGAGCTACCCAGTCCAGGGTGTCACTTTCAGGATTCTTTAAATAAGCCACCTCAGTTATTTCCTCCTCCTTTGAGGAGGATTATTATAATGCCTCCTCCTTTGTGGTTCAACTTCCTCCCAACCAACTGCTGCTATTCCATACAGTCAAACAAATCATGTTTCCACTGTTACCTTTCTAGTACCCTTCTTTTTCATCTTTCTCTCACATCACACTTCCCTTACCAAATTTGTTGTCAGGGCCTATGTCCCTTCCTTTCCTTTTGTGAATTTCAGAGTTTTATTTTTCCACATTTCAGCTACTATACTGTGACTTAATTCCTGAGATTTCCAAGGCCATTGTTCTCCCATATTTGTTCCCACACATACAAAACAATTCTTTACTGTAAGAGTCTTGGCAATTTCTTCAGACAATTGCACAAAGATGTTTACTACTTTCTTAGGGAATTTGGGGAATTCTACTTTTTCAAACTCTATCTTACACCCAATACAAATTACACACTCAATGCAATGAGAACAACAACATCCACAAGCACAATTACAAAACCAATACGTCTGGGAGGGTGCGCAATGGAATCTGCTCAGTTGTAGTCCTCTCCAGTTGGGGAAACAGCATAGGTAATCATTCAGTCCTAAAAAGGAAAAATACAGAAATAGTCCAGATAATGAAGAAAGCTATTCTCACTGGTAACATTACTGCCCATCAGTCCATTGGGTTCTCCGGATCGTCAACTTCAGTGGATCTCCTTGGTGAGATTCCACCTTCCACTCCTTTGGGGCTGGCATGGGCCCTTTCACTCAGGAGTAATGAGTCCAACCTTTTTCAGTGGTCCAAATTGCAGTCTCAGTGGTCAACAAGACAATGAAAGGTCCTTCCCAATTTCTCGTCCTTCCAGGCTTTTATCAGTAAGCTTTATATTGGTGTACAGCAAAGTCCAAAGGTGGTGTTTGTGAAGGAATGCCTTTCTGTCGCAAAAGAGAAAAACATCTGGACAGTTCGTGTACATATTTTCTAACCATTTTGCCCTTTAATTCAATTCAATTCTTGGTAAACCTTCCCTCTTTCTACATATTGTAATTTCTAACCTATCTCTATAACAATTTCTAAAAGAGCAACAACTTCTGCTGCTAATAAACAAACAATGCCATAGGATGGGGCATCTTGACTCCTAAGCACACAGACATTGAGACATAAGAAATGGAGGTAAAAAGAACATCTTAAAACAAACAATCTAAATAAGGTGGGGGTTTTTTTGTCAATGCTCTGAAATATATATTGGGTTAAATTTTAGTGTGAATTCTCTGATTTTAGTAGAATGTGAGTCAGATTCAGATTCCATTCAAATGGAAACAAATTCTCATTGAGTAGATTAAAACATTTACAAATATAAGCAAAGTCTTTCAAACTAATTTCTTTTATATAGGTTTAATTAAGCATAAAGCATGATTAATGAAACTTCCAAAAAATTTCCAGAAAAAATAAATAAAATCAAAATTGTTTTCAGAGCAGAAAAGAAAATATATCTGCATAGTTTTTATATGCAGATGAAAGAGACTAAAACAGTGAAAGGCATAGCTGTCATAGAGTTTTATCATTGTTGAGATATACCCTACACAATTACTAATCTTGCTATGGCTACCCAGAATATTACATTCCAAGAATGAGAAGAAAGTCATCAATGGGTCTTGAAAAAGAGGCTCTGAGAGCCATGGTGTGCAATGGATAGATTGCAGTATTACAGACTAATTGTCAGCCTCCGCTCTTTCGATGCTTACTTGCTCGGCTGCCATGGAAATGGGAGAGGGGGAGCTAGGGGGATTCTTGGGGGGGAAGCGTGCTGGAGGAAAATGAAAGTGAATCTTTGCTGCAGTTCTTTCTTTGAAGTTGATATGTTTCAAGGTCAATAGCACTGTGCTATTTTCCTGGGGGGGGGGGGGACTTTATGACTGATACTTTGTCCAGACTGCCCCAATACAACAGCATTAGGCCTTTACATATGCAGGATCAGAAAAGCTACATTAGTTCAATTTTCCTTAACCCTGTGAACCTAGCACTGATCTTGTAATCTGCATGTTGAAGGTGATGTATCAAATATAGCAATGGTCAAAGACAGAGAAATGCCACAAAAACATAGCTGCCTAAATCAGACTACTATCCCATTTGAACCATATCATTGATTCTAATATTGATATGGTTATAGTCCCCCATGCAGAAAAACTTCCTCTTGTATTTGGAATCTTTTGTATGTGTTACAAAGCATGCATGTGCCATTAATATAATGTGCCACTACATATAATTAATGTATCAAGGTGAAAGTTATTTACTGGTATAGGACAATTAAATGTTCTAAGTCTTTACTATGCAAATAAAGTTATAATCCAAATACACTTATCTGGGCATAAATCTATAAAAATGAAATGAGTTATGGGAATAATACACGCTGCATTAACATCCCAAACATGCCATATTACTTTTCAACAAGGCAAAATATCTATAGAATTAAAGACAATCTTAAAATATCCTCAAAAAAATGGAATCAATAGCAGTTCTGATCACACTTTTTTATCATACTTAAACATTTAGTAAAATAAAGACTAGAGATTTTCTGTAAAGTATATTCCAATTCAGTGTATTTATTCTGTCAGTGAGTGACTACATTAGAAATAGAGATTTTAAATATCTTTAAAAATGAAATGCAAATACAATTTAATATAATCATGACAGTAATAACAAGTAAAACAACATTTAATGAAATGTATTTATGGGAAAATTGATTCCAGGGCACAGTTTTCTACATTAGAAATATTATTACTTCAAAACAATTATTATACCATCTAAAGTATTAAAATACATAAAGTATTACATCTAAAATAATGATGAATTACATGTTGATATCATATTTTACCATCCACTAGTAACATCTAGTATACTGTGAAAAAACAAATAGTAAGAGAAAAAAAACCCTAAAACTTGTAATGAAAAAAAAGTAAAACAAATCTTTTCGTCTATAAAATTAAGACACTAGATTAAAGTGTTCAAACCCTGTAGAATTTTGGGGTGGCTGAAATGTTAAAATCAGGACAGAATTGCTTTAAAAGCAATATATCATTTGCACCAACCTTTTATTAAGAAAAGTGTCACCATCAGCCATTTCATATAGTCATATCACATTCAATTATAAGTTTTCCAACAGATCCAAACTAGTCATTCCTGGTCACGCTGGAGAGGCTGGCGTTCTGGAAAAAGCTTGGGTTGTAACTTTTGCCAACGTTCTGGAGGCCAAAGTATATGAGTAGCACGAGCATGTAGAAGGCCAAGAGAGATCTGAAAAAAAGTAATGAAAGCCCAGGTGTAATATAGCCTGACAAGAAATGGCTAAAAGAGGTGGGTACATAATGGTATTTTATATACATATGGCATTTTATAATTCTTGTTGAAAGAGGATTTGCTAAATCTTGCTTGAACAATGAGCTGAGGTTGTTCGAAGTCTAAAATATGGGAATATTTCTGTAATAGGACTGGTGTTGAGAAATTATAATGCTAAAGCAAGTTAAATGAAAATAACACCAAACCGTGTAAACATTTATTAACTTGGGTCATATAAATTTGCTAGTTAAATAAAGAATCATAAATGACAATGACTTGTTTCACTGGCTTAACTATTATATTTTTAGCTGAACAGAGCTTAGTGAGGCAAGAAATGCATGCATGGGATTACTTTTTTCTAAATTTTGAACGCCATTCCTCAGGGATGGCATCTCCATGTCTGCAGCAAATGGAATCATCATCTTTTTATGGCACTATCTTAAACTTCGGCAAGCCACATTAATTGGTACAAAATCACCACTTACACAGAAATGTTATAGACCGGGCCTATGAATTAAAGCATGTGTGTTGGAAGTTCAATCCTTGATATATATAGGCATGCTTTCTCCCAGAGAACTGTTACTACTGAGTTAGTAAACTAAAATATCCTTCCTACCTTTGCGTTTCTTTTCTTTTTTTTTTTTTTGATAATTTTTTTTTTTAAATTAAAACAAAAAAAATAATAAAATAGAACACATCTTTTCAAAACAAAGCTTTTGCTCAGGTCACAAATTGAAACAAATCATTAACAAATCTTATTTTCAATTAACACAACTCAATATTTTAAACAGATATTTCCCTCAAATCTATCTATATAACTATACCATTATCCCCAAAAACCCGTTACTTAAATCTTAAATCCTAACCAGTTAACAATTCATTTTTCTCTTTCATTTGCTTAGATGGATATTTTGACAATATAAATCATACAATTATATTAGACAAATTAAACATTCATTAATTTAATTATTATTAAACCTAACATGCATTTTATCTTAACTATCACTCTCAACACATACCTCCTTGTTTTGATCATCCCACCTCTTTTTATTATCTTTGATGTTAAACCAATCATTTCTATTTCTTGACTGTTGATCACAGCATAAGCCTTTGTTTTAGCTATTAAATATAGCATATTTTTATTTTTTGGCCGTTACCCAGCATGCCCTTTGTTTGGCTGTTGAACACAGCATATTAGTTTTGTTTTTTGGCCGTTACACAGCATCTTCAGGTTTGTTTGGCTGTTGAACACAGCATCTCTATTTTTGTTTTTTGGCCGTTACACGGCATATTAAGTTTCATTTTGGCTGATACCCAGCATGACCGTTTGTTTGGCTGTTCTATACAGCATATTATAACTTTTTGGCTGTTAAATACAGCATGTTCATAGTTGGTGTAACAATCTCTACTCAAACCTTTCTTTGTTGTTTCCCTCCATCTATGCATTGCTTTTCGTTTAGTCATATTTTTCTTTATCTTTTTTCATAGCAATCATAACATTTTAACCTTGAGACATGGTTCTTGCTTAAAACATATTTTTAAGTATATTTTTAAATTCCTTCTAACATTTTCAATTAATCATATTCACCCTTATTCTTTATCTTAACATTTTATCATTAAAACATAGTTCTTGCATTAAACATATCTTTACATGTATTAATTAGTTTCATTTAACAATCTTAATTTCTATAAAAGGCTCCCTTTAATTTATTACAATCATCTTTATTTTATTTTATTTTTAATCACATTATCTTCATTTCCTCGTCTGCAAACATAAATTTATTTCCATTTTCCAAGTTTTAATTTTATTCTCCATAAATCCAATTAGATTTCTTTTCATATTTTTATTCCGGATATAATGTATCAAATCTCTTTCTTTTGGGGCTGAGCTAAATCCTTCTACTATTCCTGCGCCAACATTCAAATTATTATTTGTTCAACTGTAGGAATTCCATTGTAGACTCCTTTTCTTTTCACCAAAGTCCAGCTGCTTGCAGTCAGGAAAGAAAAATCCTCCTCCACAGTTCAGCAATTTTTTTTTTCTGCAGAGCTCAAAGTTCTCATAACAAAGGGAGGTTACAAGGTTCCTCTTTGTGCCAGATGGTGTTTCTCTATAATTCAAATTTCCCATTAGTCATGCAAGACTCCATTTTATTTCTTATTATATAACCATCGGCTTTATTTTCTTCTTTTGGTTAAAAAAGTATCAAATCTTCTCCTCCCCCACCCTTAGTCCAATTCAGATTTTAAAGTGTTTAGTCCTTTTACCAAATCTCTAAATTAAGTCTCTTAATTCTTGTTCCAAAATTAGTTGTTTCTCGGATCTTTGTTCTTTAAACTTGCAGTTTAAAAAAAAAAATTGAAAGCCCCTTTGTTACTTAGCTGCTGTTTTAGGCTAGGAATCTTCTAGTTACTGATATAGCTCCAAACGTTGTTACAAGCCTGGGGTGTTGTCACTCACCCGGCTTCAAAAGGCTCCATTTTACTTCACTTTCCTCCAGCACTTTTCTTGACTGGTTGTCCCAGCTTCGTGGCAGCCAACATGGCTGCCGTCCCCAGCCGCTGACTCACAGAGGGTTCCCTCTCACCTCTGAGGAACTTGCCTGTTCCTCTTGGTCTTCTGAGGTGCCCCTCTTCTCCCCCCATCCCTGCAGGACAGGTTCGGTCTGCAGACCCATCGGCAGCAGTTCGGCAGCCAGGATTTTTGCGGGACTCATCAGAGCCCGCTATTTCCCCGACTGTCTTGCTGCGACGTCAACCGGAAGTCCCCTTTGCGTTTCTTGTGTAGACCTGTAAGCAATGTCTACACCTTGGTTGAGCAATACATTAATTATTTCTTGCTGGATACTGACAAATGCCTTTTCATAGTCAATGAAAGTCATAGAAAGACGCATGTAAAGACTTGTGTAATAGCGCTGGCGGCACTAAGAAGAAATCATAGCAATTTATGCTGGCTGGATAGGAAAGGATTGCAAAGGAAGCAAAAGTGACAGGATTTCTTCTTGATTGTGCCATGTGGCTCAGCAATGGAGCGGATTTCTCTACCCTTACTTCCTGAGTTCTAGACTTCATCAAAAGGTAAGTAAGTGAATGGTGACTGGGGAGTGGAAGTGGGGAGGAGTGCATGGAACCCAGTATATTGGCAAAGCAAGCCCAGTGCCTCTGAGGACTTGATGGGGCTGGATGGGAGGGTAATAAGTGTTGTGCTGTTACAGATAGTGAGTCATAGTGAATTAGTTACCTTAAGGATTAAGAGCTGTCTCCTTAAGAGATTGCATTGTGGGAGATGTAGAGAAAGCCCTGGCTGAATCCCTGCCTCTTTCACCACATCTTCTCCAACCTCCTCATTGTCTGACTCGAGTGCCAGCTGCACAGGCTGCTGGCGCATCACCACACCAGCCTCCTTGCTGTCAGAATCAGCTACTAGCTGCACAGGCCGCTGACGGGCTACAACACTTGATTAACTATTGGAGTTGTCTCCTGTGTCACCTCGAATCGAGGATTCGCTGCACTTCATACTAGGTCTGGCCCCCTATGACCACGGGGTCCGGGAGCTCATGGGGTAGTGGCCTCATGGGGTCTGGGACAGGGGTGAAATCTACTTACCTTCCCTACCGGTTCAGAAGTGCACATGCCCTGCACGCAGACACTGTGCATGCACAAACCCTTCTGCGCATGCGCAGATGGTAAAAAAACTGGTTACTTCCTGGTTAAAACCAGGAAGTAACAATGACTGGGCTGGTGGGTAGAGCCTCGCACTGCCATCACTACCAGTTCGGCTGAACCAGTCTGAACCGGTAGCATTTCACCCCTGGTCTGGGAGCTCACGGGGTAGTGGCCTGAGGGTCAATCTGATCACGGATTTTAAGAGGCTGCTATGGAATACTGGGTGTATCTTCCCTAGCAGTCGGGGTAATTTTAATTGCACTGTGACTGGGTTAATGATCTTTACTATGGGAAATGATCCCATAAACTTTGGCCCGAGTTTCTTGCTGGGGAGTTTTAACCTCAGCTATTTTGTGAAGAGGTAGACCTTCTGGAATGGCCATTACGGGGCTCAGTGTTTATCTGCCTGTTTCTTATAGGTTTGCGCCACTTTAGCTAGCACTTTCTTGACATTCTCCCAGGTTGCTGTCAGTGTTGACATCCAGTTGGTCAAGCTGACTGAGGAGGGGGGAGTCCCTTGGGTATTCAGGCATTGGGATGAAGTCCATGCCACTCAGTACTTTGAATGGAGTTAGTCCCATGCTACTGTGAACAGCATTATTATATGCAACCTCGGTGAAAGGCTAAGGTTGTATACAATAGTCCTAGTTGGATTGCTGATAGTTCACGTAACACCTCAGGTACTCTTCTACCATGGCATTCAGTCTTTCTGCCCCCACACTGGTACTCAGATGAAAAGCTGGGATAAGGCCTTGGGACAACCCATTGCCTGCAGGAACTCTATCCAGAACTCAGCTGTGAACTGGAAACCTGTCTGAGATAATTCTCTGTGGCACTCCATGCAGGAGGTGGATGTGCTTCAGGAACAGTTTGGCTAGCTGCTAAGCCAAGGGTAGTCCGCTGTAGGGTGCCTGCTTGGAGAATATGAAGTGTGCCTGCTTGGAGAATAAGTGTATTACAGTCCAGATCACCATGTTTCCCTCCACTTTTTGGCAGCTCCATTATGAAGTCCATTGCGATTTCCTCCCATGGCCTCGTTGGTTCTGTTACCAGTTGCAGCAGTCTGGGGGGTTTTCCTGATCATTTCTTCATTGTAGCACAGATGGTGCAACTTTTCACATAAATGTCCACATGCCACTTTATGCCAGGTGACCAGAATTGCTAAGTGTAAAGTCTTTAGGAATCAGAAGTGGCCTACTGGTTTGACGTCGTGACTTCTCTGGAGGATTAGGGTGCATAAGAATTCTGGCATATAGAGTTTCATCCCCTTCCACACTAAGTCATCTCTTTTT